ATTACTAAAAATAAAATTTATAAAAATTATAGATTTTTTATAAAACTATATTTTTAATATAAAAACCTTATAGTTATGAGGTAAAAGCGAAGACATTACAATTATATGCATATTTTATATATTATATAATTTATTAATAATATCTACTTAAAATAAGTTCTGTATACAATATATAAATTTAATATATAATAAACTATTATTATTAAATATAAATTCATTATATTAAAAATATAAAAAATCAGTTAAAGAAAAATAAATCTAATTAGAATACTAAAATTAAAAACAAAAAATACATTATATGAATAAACTCTTCCCGCTAATCTTCAATTTCAAAACAAGAAAAAACAAAATACAAAAACAACAGAAAATCTGGCTAGCAAACACCCTTTAGGCAACTAACAAAAAAGCTGTATTAGAAGAAAATACATATAATATAGTAGAGGTTAGAAGACAAAAAAAGTTGCATCAAGCTATTAAAATGAAACAGCAACTTTTTCAACAAAAAAACTTTGAATTTTTGGGGAATTGGCATTACTCTAAAAAAACAGAAAACAAAACACATAATAACTGTAGCAACAACAAACAACAACAAACAAACAAGCCTTGTACCTAGGGTGCAGAACGGGCCGGGCTAAGCCCAGAAATTTCTGGGCCAGGCTGGGTTTTGGTCCAGTTCGGGCCTATAATTTTGAGCCTGCTATTGTTCGGGTCAAATACAAATCGGGCTTGTTAAATATCAGGCCAGGTTCAGGCTTCATAAGAAGGCCCGATTAGGCCTGATAATACCTGGTAAACTTATAGTTAGTGTGTTGCAAATATTATTGCAACTTTTATAGTACAACTAGAATTGTACGTAACAATTGCTATCTATAAAAATATCATAATATTATAATGCTGTAAGTACATCTGTAATCTGACAGATTACTTTACTAACATCAATCACTGTATGGCTAACTTCTAGAACTTATTCAAATCATGATAAATAAGCTATTGTATAAGTGCCACACATTTAATTATATTTTATATCAGATACAATTTAGACTGTGTCTGATACAAAATATGATTAAAACCCAAAGTCGGATTTTTCCTTGGCAGAACTCATATAGTGATTATTAAGGTTGAATATATAAAGAATAATTTGATTGTTTTTTCTTTTTCCGGTTCGAAGTTATAGTGTTTCAGGATTGATTAAAGTCGGATTTTTATTCGTAGAGTTATTTCTTGAAGATTAACATCATGGCGAAATTGGTTCTCTGATGAAAATTAGTATGTGGTGTGATGATCGAAGAATGCCTAATTGAAGAGAATAGTTAACGAAAAATGAATGAATAAATAAAATAAAAAATGCAGTAACACTTATTACTTAGTATCGTTCGAAGGTTTATTGGTCATGTGGCTCAACCACAATCATTGAACCACAGAAGATTCATTTGGTGTAAGTATAGCATTGATTGAGACAAATAAAAATGTGGAATCAGAATTGAATTCAAATAGTCATAGCCAGAAGTTTGTCTAATTGGCAATAAATTCAATTTAATTTTATATTATTTATACAGTTTATAAAAAACAAAAACTAATAATGAAATAAAAAAAGCTGTATAGAAGGTTTCATTAGAGCTGTAGTGCTCCATAGCCAAAAATAAGATCTAATTCTTGTCCATTTAAGTATAGTAATAACTTCTCAAAACCTGATAAATTAACTTATTACTAAGCTAATTGTTTTAAATGAATGAGAATTAGATCTTATTTTTGACTATAGAGGATCGAATGCATGATATGCAGGTTTTTCGATAGCTATTAACACTAATTAGTAATTAGACTTTTCTTTATAGTATTTAAATAAAAATATACAGTTTTCCAATGGCTACATGCTAATGCTAAACATGTATTAACAGGGTTTTTTGATGGCTACTAATGCTAATTAGCAATTATTATTATATAAATTAAAGAGACTTTCCTTTATAGTATTATAAGAACATTCAAATAAGCAGGCATTAACAGGGTTTTTTGATAGTTACTAATACTAATTGGTAATTATCATAATATGAGTTAGAGACTTTCCTTTATAGTATTATAAGAACATTCAAATAAGCATGTATCAACAGAGTTTTTTGATGGCTACTAATGCTAATTAGTAATTATCATAATATGAATTAAAGTGTCTTTCCTTTATAGTAATATAAGAACATTCGAAAGTATGAAATTCAAGATTCTGAATAAGGTAAAAAGCCATCTGGGAAAGTTAATTCAGCTTTCGTTCTCATTAGTACGTACATACACACGCAAAGAATTGAGTCTCAGGAGCCAGGCAAGAGTGTCTGGTGTAAGTGTGAGAATGTATAATTGTTACAATTATCTGAAAAACTTAAAATAGTAAGAAATATAAAATACAACATATTGTTAGTGTAGACAAAAAAAATAAATTTACAAGCTTTTTTTTTATTTTACAATTGTTTGTAATAACAAAAAGTTTTACATCCAATGCTGGTATTAGTATTTGAGTTCATTAACCAAATGTTGCTTATTATAGTGTGATCTGGACACGAAGAATCCTATTCAAAAAACTAACGTTAATGCATATCAATATTGTAGAAAAAATTTAAAGTTAACAAATAAATATGTTTTATTAATTCAAGCAATGCAATTCTAATAATGTAATTAATTGTATTTACTTTTAGATTGATTTGATTATAATATTGATAGAAAATAGATGATGGTATGCTGATGTATATTCTAAATTAGGTTTATTAAGTTAGTATGTATTAACTTTTGCTTATTATAATTAGAAATACAAAGCAATTCTGCAATAAGTGAAAGAGAAAGCCCGGAAATACCAACTATTGATGAAAATTCAGAGACAACTGCTGTTAATGAGAACTCCGAAGTAACTATTATTAACAAAAAATGTAAAACATGCAAGGAACCATCTTGGGTGTTTAAAAAAGGACACTTTCAACCTAACCCTTCAAAAAGTAAAAATTTATTTTAGGTTATACTACAAAATCCTAATATCCAAATCTCAAAAACCATAATCCAGACATGACTACTAGTGCTATCATTGGCCAATGCCTTCAAAAATAGTACCTTTCATGATTAAAACCCAGGTATTATTCACCATCTGTACTGGTTTGTTACTTGAATAAGACCTGGGAATAGTATCCGGTTCTTCACACAGTACTCATAAGTACTATTCAATTTTAAAATTGGAGTTTATGAATAAGACCCTGGGTCTGTAGGCAGTGGCAAACGGTAATATTTAAAGATTAGGAATAGCATTAACAATTATTGTTAGACTTTAATTGTACATTGCGCATGTCAGTATTATGGCCTATCGTAATTTTGGATGTCGAGATTTTGTGATAAAAACCTTTATTTTATTAAGTTATAATTTCTGTTATTAGTATATAATATGTAAAATATAATTTTTTAGTTGGTTATGTTCAATGTATGCATTGCAAAAATAATTTAAAGTATGAAAGTAAATCTGGAACCAGCTTCTTAATTTAGCATATGAAAAACACAAAGTGTAAAAAATATCTTAAAGTTGACGAATCACAACAAATGTTGAAATTAGGTACATCAGGTCTTAGTATATACAAATTTTCTCAAGAAAGAAGTTGTGAAGACTTGTCAAAAATGATAATGATGCATGGATACTCGTTTCGTATAGTTGAACATGAAGGATTCCAAACCTTTGTTAAAAATTTGCAGCCAGAATTTAAGGTGATGTGTAAGAAGACAATACGTGAAGATTGCAGTGTTATTGTTGATGATCTTAAAGTAAATGTGCATACAATGATACAAGAGGCTCCTGGATATTTGTGTTATACAACTGATTTATAGACATCGATTCAGACTGTTGGATACATGGTAGTTATATGTCACTTTATAGATAAAGACTAGAAGTTTCAAAAAAGAGTTTTAGCATTTAAGAAGGTTCCTGTGCCACATATGGGTGTCGCTATCAGTGAAACTCTTTCTAATTGTTTTAATAATTGGTAAATACTTTAAACCTTAAATCAAATAAATATTAAGAGATAAATTATGGTTAAAGGGTATAAAAAAAATAGTCAGAAATTATTATTCCTTAAACCATATTCCAGGCAAATTTGCTTGGAAATTTCATGATTGATCTATGATTAAGCTATCAAATTATATTTAATTGTAGTCTAAATCATAGTAAATACTAGTAAATACGTAGTTAAATTAACAATTTAAGGGATAGTTTTGCTATAATACTGGAATGTAGTTAGTTTACAATAAAAGGTTTTATTTAACTAAGTAAACTTTTCTTATACTTTTAATAAAAATTATATAATAAGCTATTCCACTCTGGTGGTAGAATTATTGAAATCTGATTAGTTCATTTTCTTTTCGTAACTATATGAATTTTACTTATTGTCAGAAACTTTCAACATTCCATCACTATAAGAAATTATTAATTTTCTACCAATTTTCACTAAGTTTCATGCTCTTCAGCTGCGATTTACCATAAATTTTATAATTGTAAAAATACCAACTACTACTAAACAATATTAAACAAACTACTAGGGATATTATGTCAAAAATATTGGCAATTACTACTGATAATGCAACCAGTAATGATGCTGCGATAGCTAATCTGAAACATAAACTTGGAGAACAGAATATGCTTATCGCTAATGGATATTTATTACACCAATGCTGTTGTTCTCATATAGTGAACCTTATTGTTAACGATGGTCTTAAGAAAGTTAAAAGTATCATATGCAAAATCAGAGAGTGTGTAAAGTGGATTGATGGTTCACAACGTTGACAACAGAATTTTGAGCATGCTATAATCAGGTGTAGTAATGAACTTGCATCAAATCAACGACCAACTCTTGATGTACCTACTCATTGGAACTCTGTATATCTAATGCTCATGTTCACTATTCCTTATAAAGATGTGTTTGAGTGTCTTGCATTACGAGACACAGACTTTGGGCAAATTATGCCTTCTGATAAAGACTGGGAAAAAGCTAAAAGCATTTGTGATTTCCTGAAACCATTTTACAAAGGCATTTTTTTTTTTTTTGCTTATGTAAAAGCAATATTAATCTTAATATTTAATATTTATGAGGTTAAAGAGTATAAAAATAGCAAATATGATAGTAGAAATTGCCAGAAGTTTATATAGTTTTTCTATAGAATTGGAATGTGGCTAGCTAACAAATAATGGTTTTTTTTTATGCCAAATAAACTTTTCTTGAGTTTCTAACCAAGATTATAGAGCAAGTTATTTCGATTCTAATACAGTAGAATTATTCAAATTGGTTTGGTAAATAGCATTTTTTTCCTTTATAACTATATAATTGCCAAAAACTTTCATTATTCCAACATTATATGATTTTCTGCTGATTTTTACTATGGAATTTATACCTTTCAACTGCAATCTTATACTTTTATACTGTACTAACTCATTCTTTAATTATATAGTTACGAATCTTATTTCAGGAAGCACATATTCTACAGCTAATATTTTTCTTCCTCACGTAGTAAAAATTAAGCTGCATCTTGAATAAAATGCTGTTAATACAGATCTATTTATTTGTCAAATGGTAGAACCAATGCAATCCAAATTCGATAAATATTAGTCAAATATGGATGATATGCATTGTATTGCTTCCATTATGGACCCTCGCTATAAGATGTCACTATTGACTCATATATATAAACAAAAAATACACTTGTTATGCACTAAAGCAGAAGAAACGTTAGATTTTATTAAAACAAGATATGTTGGGCTTAAGAATGGCTCTGAAATTCAAAAAAAGAAATTCAAAAAATAAAGTAATATTGTAATTTCCTTTTTTGAATTTCAGTCCATCCTTAGTTGGGTTATCGTTATACAAAATAAATATCTTGGTTTAGTTTATAGCAATAGATATTTTTTAAATATAGAAAAAACAGGATTTACTGACAATCATTTCAGCTTCATTTAATTAATATCATGCTAAGTGATAATTTACAAAAATATATAACTGCAGCTAACCAAATGCTGGCTAAATGAACTTCTGGTAAAATGATTGTTGGTCAAGCGAGCATCGAGCAGTCATGTTAGATTTAATTTAATATGATCTTATAACTTTTGCTTTTCATAGGGCTACAGAGATCTATAAATTAGAATATGCGCCAAATGGAGATGTTTTTAATAATTCTCATAGTTTTTCTGGTACTATTTCTGAGAAAGACGAACTGATGAAAGATTTTGATCTCTTTATTGCAGAAAATTCCACTAATGCCATGAATGAAATGAATGAATTTGAGCGATATCTTACTGACCCACTTATTTCACATTCTGAGTTATTTAATATTCTAGCTTGGTAGAAAGAAAATGAATCAAGATATTCTCATGTATCAGCAATGGCAAGAGACATTCTTGCAGTTCTAGTTACTTCAGTAGCTTCAGAATCCGTAAGCAAAGTTTGTTATATATTTCCTATAATGCAGGACAGCATATTAAAAACAGCTAAATTTTAAAATTACATAATCAATTATGATTGGCTAATTTTTATATGATTAAAAACCATCACTATATATAAATTTCTTTTTTTATATATTAACAGTCAAAATTTCAAGCTATTATAACTTTAAATTGTTATAATTCTTTAAAATTAAAAAATAAGAATCTTCTCTAGTCAAATTGTAGCTTAGACTTAAAGCTACAAATTGGCTAAAAATTAATATTTTGTTTTTTTTTTATTTTAAGTTATAACATTTTTTGTAAAACATATATAAAAAAGTACTGTTTGAATATAATGCGTATGGACTAATTTATATCTTTGTCAATTAGGTATTTAGCACAGCAGGAAGAATTATTGGCGATTATAGATCAAATCTTGCCCCTGAAACTATCGAAACACTAATATGTGGCCAAGATTAGTTGAAAATTGCAGAGGAACAAGGCTGGACAAGAAATAGCATATCATCCACTTAAAGCTGTAAATTGTCACTTTTTTTTTCTTTTTTTTTTATGTTGAAATTTTTATATCTAAATTTTATATATGGAGTTTAAATTACTTAGGTAAATAAATTATTTTGCATTTTACGTACAATAATTTAATATTAACATTGTTTTACATATAGTAATAGTTATATTAGTAAATTTTATGAGAAAAACCTTCGACCTGTTAGATGTCAAATTAAATTATATTGCATGTGTCAAATATTAATTTCAGACTAGTATAACATCAGGTGTTTGAAAGTGCCAAACAGATGGCACATTGCAAAACTGATCTGTTTATTGCTCCATATAAGATTTAAGCGAATCAATCAAAATTATTTATGCCCAATAAATATCTCATTAAGTGGAATTTACTAATAAATGTTGTAATTTATAGACTCATGCACATTACCTATACTAGTCGCCCAAATCCCAAGCTCAAGCCCAAACTACTACATATCTCAAAAACTTTGTTAATAATCTTTATTTAAACAAATGATTTATATTTTTATTGCAATATATAATATATTTACAAAATATCAAGATTATTTTTTTTGATTTAATTTTTTATAAAACAATTTGTTTTTGGGGGGTTTGGGATTTGTCCAGGTTTTGCTAGCCAGTAAGTACAACAGTACCTTATTATTTGCAAATATATCATATGGCATCATCACACTCAAGACATTGGCTAGTTTTAAAGAAAACTGACTTTAAAAAAAAGTAAGTTAATTTATTGCTTTTATAATTTATCTAGTAGTTCATTTAACTAATTTATTGTTTAAACTTTAGATGTCTTATGGAATGACCAATGTATTAATGAAGATACAAAATCTAGAGAGCATAAATAGTAAGGGCAAGTGGTAATTGACAATAATGAACATAACATTAAATATTATGTAAATTGTATATTACTGCTGTTTTTATAAATTCAGCCAATCTGGATAAGTTATTATTTTGGCATAATAGGTTCAATAAAAAAAATTATATATATGACTTATATACATACTTACTTTCAAGCACTAGCA